GAAATGAAGTACAGGCATCAGTGGGTGGAAGTAATGAAGACATTGTGGCAAGCTGGTCCTAATCTTGGTTCCGGTAAAGGAAAGATCAAATATCCACAATTCACATGCTTTATTACCAGCAAAGGGGGTTTCAAATACAGCCACAGCATGGACTAGGATTCGATTTAAGTCCTTTGTTGCGAAGTATTCGACTTTGATTGCCTGGGTGGGTGAAATCGACCTCACTTTAATGGATTTCCAATATTGCCTACATGCATGGAGTAGATTGACGCAATGACATCCGCGATTCTGCTCATAAGAAATACTAAAGTACCGGAACTGTTTGAAGCACGCACCTTCCCAGTGCGAAATGCTCCAATTGGCGTTTATACAAGCAGCATAAGGCAGAAATGTCGAAGTCGGCATGCGTGGTCCTTCCGGGAAGTCATCCTGTTGGCTACATGATGGACTTGGCACAATCTCATGCAACGCCAACGCGTTGGAAATTGCGGTAAGACATGTTGCGTGTCAAGCAGCAGAAATTTGGGGCAACGAAGTAGCGTTTGAAGTGGAATTAGTCGCACTTCTTGCAGGTGCACGACATTATCATCAGTACGAGCCACTTAAAATGTGACTTCTCTCCAATAATACCATTGAATACCAGGTGTCAATGCGGGTCCGTTATGGGAAATTGAATTGCTGCCGGCTTTCTGGTGAGCTAGTGCGGCCACTCCAGTAATGCCCAATTCTCAGTTACTTTCGATTGGCAATTGCGCGAATTCAAGCAAGGGCATCGCGTCTGAACCGAAATTGGTAACGAGCGCGTATTGGTAATACTGAGCCAAAGAAAAGAAAATGTTGCGCCAAGCTCAGGGATCTATGCAACCTCGTCGATTTGTATGGAGGGCACCTAGTTGGTGCATCACCGCACACTAGTAAACAACAGGCCAGATGACACAGTTCTGACACGGTCTGCACAAAATCGAATTGTGTACTTTCGGCAAATGTGGTCCCCAAAGCACACAGTTACTACACGCATTGACACAGTTTTAACCATGCATCCTATGAAGCCGTGTAGCCTACACAGTTGTTTGAGGGTACACGGTTGAAAATGTGTCAATGCGTGTTCTAACTGTATACTTTTGGCACCATTTTTGCCGAAAGTACACAGCTGGGTTTTGAGCAGACCGTGTCAGGACTGTGTCATCTGGCCTGTTTTTTCCTAATGGCATGCAACCCATCCTGGGCGCCACGCGACTACGTCCGCAGAAGAAAGGCCGACGCCTGGCGCTCCTCTGGGCCGCCATGGCACAGACCCTGGCGCATGGGCCGGAGCAGAGTTTTCTTTTTAACTTTCAGAGTGTTGCTCGGCTGCTCAGTCCATGGGCCCCTGGGGGCATCTCTAACGCAAAAGACACTATTGTGTTAGGGAACCTCGTTGACAGAGCTCCACATGCCATTGCATTCTCGATTCTGGAGATGAGTCTTGCAAAACACACTGGTCAAATTGGAGCAGAGATCAATACAGGGTGCTGGGTGTGGCGAGGTTGTACGAGATAGTGTGGTTGTGGTCAGCGGAACCAAAGCACGTCCACTTCTCAAGAAGTCATTACACTCGCGTGTGGGGAAACCGAATCCCGTCAGAGCGACAACACGTCGAGTTCATGTGGCTGTAGCTCACTTAACTCGAAACAACGAAATCGATGGTACTGGGAGGCACCGAAATAGCTCAAGACGGCGTGGCGATGGACTGCAATGACGGTGCGATATGCTGATTGCTTTGGCGAACAACAATATGTAATCTAGAGAATTGTTGAAGGCATGCTTGGCCTTTACGGCACAAACACAGCGCCCTTACGTGCGTATTTACGTATAAACATAGTCATTCGTTTTTACGCCTAGAAACGCCTAAAATATATAAAACACGTAAACTTGGCCCTGTCCACATAGAGCCAGTACTTCTAGATTCAGGGAATCCGGCGACTAGCAGCCAGACGCGCTGGAATGAGCTAAAGAGAACCATTCTTTGACAACGTAGGTCCACTTGTCAAGGGCGAGGTGGACGCTGTGTTTTCGGTTGCTCAATGGGGCAGAGGACTGGCCATTGTTTGCGATTTCATCATGTATTCTGGCTGTGTCGGCACGCCGTAAAAATAAATAAATATAGCCGTTTCTGTGTTTTCACACATTTGCGCGTAAAAGGCAAAGAGCAAGCCTGGTTCAAGATTTGTTGAAGGACATGATTTTCTGGCAAGGGTGGTCACATGCCCAGTGGGCAGTGACATCACTGGTTGGTGGTGCATGGAGAGCCGTAACATTGGCGTGTGGCGCTTAAATAAAATTTTCACTCTACTGAAGTAGAACAGCCGGTACAGGCACTGGCTGGTACTTTGCTGGACTCAGACGCGGATCCACTGTACTGCAGCTGTACCGTCGAACTTATGAATTCACCCACGCACACACCCACCGTAGCAGACCTGGTGGCAAGCGTTCAATGCTTTCGTGGTTCTGCGCTGCGCCGTCAAGGCGCTTTCGGCCTGGCATTGCAGCAGCCAGATGCCGATTCAGGACGTGAGAGGCTCGCGTTAGCTTGGCAGGGCCGAAGGAAGATCCAGTGTAGTGGGAATGGGGGTGAGAGCTGCGTGGTCAAGTTGCCGAGTGTCCGACCTCGTTTGTCGGTTCATCGACTCAGGTGAACCGCCCTGTACGCCTGGTGTACAGTTGCAATCTTGTAACAGAAAGGGGCAGCTCTGCCGTGGTGATGCAAGCTGGGCTGTGCGGCTGCGCAGCTGTACACCTTGGCGTGTCCCCGGACTCAAGCGCATCACAAGGGGTGGAAGCTGGTGGACATGGCCACAAACACCGGCCATGACTGCACTGTTTCCCCATATGTGGTGCGTCCAATGCTGCGACTACCAGAATTGCGGCAAGTTGATGTGGAAGTGAACATGGATGAAGACGCGTGTGGACAAAGACACTTTCTGCCAGTGGCGTGGTGGAGTAGTGACTCTGGGCCCCTCGGAAGACGGGCAAAGGTGCTTAAGCCAAAAGGAAGGATTGGGGTTATCCCACCTCATGTACATTTCATGCGTCTGAGCCGATCTTCCTTCCGCATGCATGCACTGGCCTCAGGGCGCAAGACGCTATGCATGGGGTGGATGAAAGAGCTACCTCTTATCTGTGCCTTTCAGGAGACATCGAGGTGTTCCCTGCCTTCATCTGTGATGAACCTGGTAAAGAATAAACCCTTCGCAGGTGAACATCCTGGGCACCTCAAGGTGTGTAGAAAGGCACCACGCAGTGGTACCCACCAATTAGGACTTATAGGATCCGATCCGGACCTTAGTGAAGAAATACCGCGAAGGATTTTTCGATCCGTCCCTTTGAACGATCCTTCGAAGGGATGGATCTAAGGGTCCTTCGATGCCTGATGAGTTGCAAGGCAAATTTTGGGTGTGGGGATCTGAGGTGAAATAACTTTTTTTGCTGGCACACTTGGCAATGCCAAGCTGGTAATAACTAACGTGTAATTACACGTTTCCCTCAGTGCTGAACAGTACCAGTAGCTACTATGGTGCTCGTCGCCATCCGTTCCAAAACGTCCATGGCCGTCACCGATGACCGCCGTTGGCGCTGCTTTAGATAACGCAGTTCGCCCCCGCGTGGGGCCCATGCACGGCTCGTAACTTCAATCCGAAATATGAAATCACAACACTCCACACGGCACCTATTCCGAAATTCGAGTTCATACTGAAGTGATGAGCCGATGTGAGCAGGACAGGAGTGGTGGGAGTCGTGGGGTTCTCCATTAGTACCAATCTACCCATCGACTTAACAGATCCCCGCCAAGTCTGCCAGTTTGAAACTAAGCCTAGCTCTCGTTGAAAGCGTGCCGATAGTGGACAGATCCCCCGTGGGGCATTCAAATGCGATCTGCAGAGGAACAGGAGCAAAATTTTGCCAATTTAAGCTTGTAAGGAGACGGCCTCAAGGAATGGATTAATTAAAGCGGTGGAATATTCAAACACCGGTTCCCCACAGAATGATGTGCCGGGCGTACTTCAGTGCGCTATGGCGCATTGCCAGCAGTTTCCCCCCCCCCCCTCTCGCGATGCTGGAGCCGACTAATTGGCGGTTATCATAACCATGTGCTGAATGACGGGCGCCGTATTGTAGCAAACACTGATGAAACTTTTGTGCAAGTACACTGATTTACAAGTAATTACACTAACTTATAAGTTAGCCAGCGTGTGTGTAAAGCAGAAGACTATCCTGTCAAGCAGACATATCCCGTGTTGGCGTCAAGCCGTCGTGGTCAAATGATGCCCGACGTTCAGCATCAATCACATCCTCCCACCGCGCCTTGGAAATGTGTTGATCCCCCTGTCTTTTCCGTGAGGATCGGTTCTTCTTGCCTTGACAAGGCCAACGCCGGTCAGCGGATCAGTGGTTTAGGTTCTTGGGGTGTCCGAAACAAGAAGGGATGTTCACGGAAAAGGCAGAGCGACTAATTGCATGCCCCCAGCCTGTGGCCAGCATTTCGTGCACACTGACCACGGCCTCGGGCCATCAGAACCTGGGAGGAAGCCCGGCATCACCACTGCTCTCCCAATCTTCACAACCTTTTCTTCCGACTGACCTATCGGAAGAATTGGTTGTGACGCCTGTCGCCCTTGCGGCAGCGCCTTGGTCGTCGACCTCCACCGAACATAGGCACACAGCGGCCACGTGGTCTGGCAACAATGTGTCGCGCCGAAACTACCAGAATGTCGGAGCCCTCCGATGGGCCCTTGCCCGCCTCTGGACGGGCACAGGGGACCAAATGTGCGGTACAACATCGTACAGCTGCCCATCCGCCTGCGGCATGGGCGGGCGCGTGACGAGGGTCCCATCGGGGTTGGTGCGCGAGGGGGGTACAAAGGGCGCGGGTTTTCGGTGGGGTTGTGGCGGCATCGGAAGGGTGGTTGGAAAGGAAAGGGAAAGAAGGAAAGAAAAGGGCTGTGGCTGTTGCGCCCGCAGGCATGGATCGGATCTGGACGGCGCTGGTGTTGGTTGCGGTGCTGGTACTGAGGGGCACCGCGGCGCGCGACAAGGCCAACATGCCGCAGCCGAAGCAGGAGGAAGGTGAGAACTGGGGTGCCGAAAGGACGATGCAAGCAGTTTCGGCGGGCCGAGATCGCCACGGTGGAAGGCTTTGTTTCCTTGGCGCTATCGCGATTCCGCTGAGGACCTGATTCGGTATTGATTTGCTGCGGTGCTCGCGGGGGACCTGCAAGGGCAGGGGACCTGCCTGGGGTCATGGTCAACGTAGATCATCGTTGACCCTTGGTTGCAGTAAGAATGCCCCGCGACCTTTTCGGCATGGGTTGGCTGTGTCTGGGCAGAGCCGTTCCGATTGCAGTCGGTCATTCGCTGGGATCCGGCCGCCGCGCTTTGCCTGCATATGGCACAATGAACTTGTTTTGATTTTCGCAGAAGAGGGCGGCCGCAACGCCGATGCAGCCGGATTGTGCTTGCTGGCAGCCCTGCCTGCCCTATTGCTTGCTGCAGTCCCCCTGTGTGCTTCGCCGCGCGCGCTTGCCCCGGATCGATGGCTCCGCGGAAGGCATCGCGCATCCCCTATTGTGTGAATGCGCATTGGTGGCCATTCTGTTTGAGCTGGCGAACAGGCGCTTCTATTTCTTTAGGCGCCCCCTGGCGGTGCCCTATGGCCAACGACCACGCTTCGCGCCTCCTCATTCAGCGGTTCAGCCGTGCCTGGCCAGCGCGTCGACTTGGAACAATCCACGATTTTGCTGGGGCCGCTCGGAAGCTGCCTCTTCCGCCACGTGCCCGCCAATACCCCAAGTCATCGTGGCATGGCCAAAGTCCGGCGGGAACCCTGGCTTTTGACATCCTGTCTGGGCGGCCGTGCCGGTGGCACGGGATTCCAGGGCCGCGCCGGTGGCACGGGATTCCAGCGCGGTTTTCCACTTTTTGTTCCGAGTGGTTTGAGGCGATTGTCAATGGTTGACGTGCGGCTTCGCAGGGCCGTCCAACAACGCCACAGCCCTGGGGACCATTGTGAAGGAGCCTTCCGAAGGTGCGCCGAGATGTCCAGCCGCTGGAACTTCCATACCCGTTTGCTGGCTCTTTGGCTGGCTTATTGTCCCGTTCAAGTCGATGTGCCTGATCGCGACGTATCTTGTCTGTGCGCCGCTGATTGGTGGGGAACTGGCTGAAGAAATATGAGCGCTGTTTGGCACTGTCGCCGTCTATTTCAGGTCAGCGTACCACATTTCCATACTTCTTGTCTGCTGTGGTTGTAGGGGCCACGGCCTGAAGTTGAATTCTTCTGTATTGATGTACCCATTGATGGCCGAATATTGGCTATCTTCTTGTCTCAACATTCATCGAGCCGTCTTGTCTCGCATTGAGAATCGCCGGGCAAGCTCTGCCCTGCGATCGACTGGGAGAATAGGCTGGCATCGAGTTCTCACAGGCTTTGGCTGGCGTGATGTGCTAACCATCATTTCTTTCATCAGTCAGAACAAGTCAAGTAATTTCCTCACGCAGCACCTGGACAGTGTTGATAAAGTCTGTTGTCACCATTATGTGTGTGCCCCAGGCCCGGACTGCAGCCAGGTCTGGGCTCAGCGATTGAGTTGCAGGACTTGAGTGCAAACACTTTCAAGGCACACTGAGAGCCGTTTATACAGCAGGAAAATGGCCTGAAACTGGGCAGGCTATTGAAATTTTGCTGGTTGCAACTGTGGATGGTGCACGAACTGTTGCTGTCACAATAAATCGCAAGATGGGCTGATGCAGGGCTGCCTGATGAGATGTATGACCAAAGCTAGACAAGCTTCTCTAGAAGTGTGTGGCTTCAGGAGTGCTTGACATTATTGATGGCAGTGATATTTTTAAACACAATGATGGATTGTGATGACAATTCCCACAGGATTTTCCAGCCCCTCCTTGTGCCATGTCCACAATTTAAGCAAGATCTGCACTTGAATTCTGCTGGTGGTCGTCTTGCAAGTGCAAGGAGGCATTTGTTTGTTGGCAATTGAACGCTGGGGACTTATCAAGTAAATTTCTTCATGGTTGCATCAGGTGGGCGGATCGACCCTGAGGTCCTTGCAGGGATGTACAACAGGTCCATGGATGTGCCGATTGGCAGGGACATGCCCTCGATGGGGCTGGACGGTGCGACGATCGCCAGCCTGACCAAGTCGGCGAACACCTCCACTGCCAACGGCACCAACCTGGCACTGGTCACAGCCAATGGGACCAAACCCAAGGGAGAATCATTGGCGGTCATCAATGCTACAGCTCACATCGATGAGGCGACTCATGCACGGAAGGGAGCCATGCCGAACATCACTGTCAATGCCACTGTTCAGCTTGACGGTGCAACCCACTTACAGATGGGAGCCTTGCCAAATGCAACCAACGAGGCAGCAAGCGAAAAAATCCACAGCAGTGGCCTGGGCGGCAGGTATGAGGACGAGAACAACCCTGAGACCATCACTTCTGGTAAGCGTGCCTGGCACCTCGCTAACAGAACCAGGGCAGGGATTGAGCCCACAGGAGCCTTGCCAAATGCAACCAACGAGGCAGCAAGCGAAAAAATCCGCATCAGCGGCCTGGGCGGCGGGTATGAGGATGAGAATAATCCTGAGCCCATCACTTCTGGTAAGCGTGCCTGGCACCTCACCAATGGAACCAGGGCAGGGATTGGGCCCATGCCGAATGCAACCAATGGTACCCAATGGGCCAATCTGCCGACTGGCCACAATGAGACCCTTTCGAACCTGTCGTACACCGGGCCACTCAGTGCAACAAACTCCCTGGACAATTTTGTGCACAATGGGGAAGTCTTCATTGACGTCGAGGTGGCAGCACAGAAGTATCGCCTGGCCCCTGGAGAGGAGCCCCAGGCATCCGCCAACCGATCCAACGACCCAGACGTTGTCGCCATGAAGGAGATCGCCTCGGTCGTGCTGGACGGACCAAAGGAGACTGCGGTCATCATGACTGAGGTGGTCATTCGATCAGTCTTGCCAGATGGTGAGCAAAGGTTGCTGTATTCTTACTTGTTTTCGGCATCCAGTGGACGCGTTTTTCTTGTCATCTTCAAAAGAGCGATCGTTCATTTTGATTATCTTCACCTCCGCAGCTGTCAGCCCCTCCAGTTTCATACCAGTAGCCTATTAGTATTGTTGCTTCAGGAGTCGGTAGGCATGTGTGCTTGTCAATGGGAGATTTTCCTTTTTATTGGTATTGTTACTGACCAATCTCATGGTCACTACTTGTATGGGTCTGTTGGGCTGTACCATGGGAGTGGCCCCATGATTTCGAATTGCTCACAATTTAGTGCCACTTGAATTCACATTGGGCCATTTTGAGCCAAATCGGGTGCATTTCTGACAATGGCAATGCTCACTGCAGGATGCATCCTGCCAGTGTGCTGTGTGCGTTTTCTTTTCCAAAGCATTACATCGAATTTGAAATATGCTGAAAATGTGCTGAAACATACTGATAACATGCTGGCACCATTGTGTCTCCAGAACTTGGAAGTTGCTCTCGGCTTGAGAGGATGATAAATTGCAATGAGCGTCACATCTCCCACTTGGCACCCGCAAAGACAAGTGTTCTGTTCGTTGCATTGCTGGCTGGCTCGAAGCGCATATTTCAGACGGTTGTATCGACGCAGATTGGTCTATGCGGCCCAAGAATTTGTGACAACTGAACGACATACCTACGACATTGTTGAAGCACATCTTGGCTGTTGTCAATTACACATATTTAGGCCTGGGGCTGCTCCCTCAGTCTTCTTCACTCGAGCATTTAGAATGTGTATGGATCGATGCACTTGCAGCGGATGTCCACTGCCTAGTGTATGCAGCAGATATCCGCTGCCTCCTTCATTGGCCTGGTGTGGACTGTCATGCTCATTTCTGGAGATGCTTGTTGATGTAGGTGAGAATGTGACAACGGTGAGAGATACTGAGCTACACGAGGTCATCCAAGGAAAGTTCCAAGACGAAGGTTTGATGAGAGAGATTCTGGAGCGCGACGCCAATCAGGTATGCCCGCGTGTCCTGGTGCACCAGCAAGAGTTGGCCACTGCATGCGCAACTACTTTCGCGTTTGTGATGTCGTTGATTAGTGAAAATCATTCATGCACAACACAATGTAAATGTACAATGCATCACATACGTAAACTGAGTTGAGACTCGTAAAATGAGCCGCACGATCATATACTGTGTTTAGACGTGCTTGGGCGAACCAGAAATCGATGACTATCCCTTTATCTATCTTTCTTGAATTTTACGTTTCGCAGTCGTAAATCGCATGACACGGAATGCGCCCATACCGGAAAGACTTGACCGATTGATTGAACAATCCCGAGCAGGCACAAGCAATACCGGAGCAGGGGCCTTGCGAGGCCTGCCCGCAGCCCGTCAGCGCCATCTGCTCCCTGTGCTGGCCGGTGGACTTCTGCAGGCCGTTCGCGTCCAAGGTGGACATCCCATGCCCAGCGGAGCAGTTCTGAGGTGGGCCGTCAGGTCCTGCGCCTGTCGGGCCCCGCCGTACATTGGCACACTTGGCCCTACCGAGCGGAGAGGCTGCCCACGCTGGCGATGCCAGCCCTCGGTTGGGTAGAGGGTTTCAAGCTTTGGACGAGAATAAAACCGCTCTTTTGGAAGCATGTTATACGAGGCGCAGTGCCTTCTACAGTACTTGCAGAAACCACTTTTTACTGAAATTGTGTTTAAGGCAAAGCGAAAGGCGTCGAATATTAGCTATTGGAGTCTTGGGCTTTTCTTAGGCTGGCCGTTGGAACTAGGGTGCGTTTTGAGTCATGTTGGGTGGCACATCCCCGTGGCGAGTCCCGCAGGAGTGTCGCATGATGCCGTATTCGCCAAAGCCTGACAAGTCGCTGCCTTGCACTTGTCTAGCGAATGGTGCCGCGAGGCAGTTGTTCCGGGGCGTGCCGCCTGCGGCAGTGGACAAGGGGCATGCAAGAATAATTCCGACGCGGCGGGAGAAGAGAACAGAAGCGCCACGACTGCGCGCTGCAAAGGCGACGGCCGCCGTTGCTCGCTCGGTGAGCGGCTTGTACGGAATGTATGCTCGATTGTAACAGCACTTGGAAGTCGTGTTGGCGTCCCTTGCGGTGGGCAGTGTCCCCCTTGACGGTGGCAGCGCAGGCCGGAATTCCCATGGAACGGCTGAGATTGGACACACTTGTGCCCCTCTGTCAGTCCTGGCATTTGGTGTGGCGAAACGTCCCGCGCAGCGAAGGCAGCGGTCCTGCGTGACCGCCGGTTCAGGTTTCGCCCTTTGCAGAATCCATGCTCACAACGGCCTGTGGCGATCCCCACACAGGATCCCCAACCCATCGCACGGCGCCTGCGCGGAAGCGGCCGCGACAGGGAAAGTAGCCGGAACGTCAACGCCGGATACTGCTTTGCAAAGTTTGCCGACGATACAGATCGCCGGCGCACACGCCCCACGTCGTCCTGGGCGGAAGCCCATCCAAAACATAGGTGGCTACATAGCTCTTAACGAAGCTCCATGCCACATATGATAAGCTCCATGCCATGTATGCATGGTATGCGCACTTCTGCCCATTCAAGCCCGTCTCGACAGTGAGGCGATTTCGACAAATGATGGGCCACGCTGATGCGGCATTTCTGGGGGGCCTGAACGGCGCTGGTGCACGAAACCCACTGGTCCCTGGCAGAAGCAGCGGAGGGCCCCACAGATACTCCTTGTCAAACGACGACGGGATGCCCTCCAACTGTGAAGCGGAAGGAACGACCACCACAGAGTTACCCGGCCTCTGAAGCTTCGTGGAGCCTAGAACGGCCACGGACGGAGGTGCAGCGGCCATTGCATCACGGCTCACTGCAGATATGGAACCCGTGGGCCTACAGAAATCTTTCTTGTGGCGGCCGCAGCTCTACATCATGAAAGCATTTAGCGATAAATTTCCAGGAATTTCGATGCGAGGAAGATGACAAAAACAATCCGGGAGATACAGTGCGAGGTGAGAATGCCCTTCCCACATAAGGTGCAGGGATGGTAAATTGTGGTGTAGTGGCATTTAGTGAAACAAGGTCACGGAAAATGGCGCTTCATGAGAGCAACTGGCTAATGCAAGTGCATTTAACTACTTACATCCAAAGAAGCGCGTTCTAAAAGCAAGGAATGGAAAGATGCAAGACATCAACAGCTGGAGTGGAGTCCAGAGGTTGTGGAATGTGTTGGGTGTGTGTCTGTGTCAAGATGTTACAACCACGCACCAAGCGCATTCAGGCCTGGGTGCATTGAAGGCCATATTGGGCTCACCGTGGGCCCCGGAATGACCCAAGCACTGTTAATCGCCTGGGCAAACTGTCCTGGTAGCAGGGCAGGCAGGTCCCACAGCATGAAGGGCGGCAGTGACGTTGTCAAACCGATGAAGGGGTGCCCGAGAAAAGAACGTACGTCCTTTCATTGCAGCTATTGAAAGGAGGCAGAACACAGCCCTTTACCCTGTAAAACTATGCCGCGCATATGGTTGTGCACAGAGAGGAGAGTGCACAGCGGAGAGCCAGTGAAGAGGGTGCGGATGGTAGGGCACGACCACAGGATCATCCGCATTTACCTCCCTGTGCAGTTGGCCCATTCATGATTCTTTCGAAAGCACAGCAGCAGTCCCACAAACGCACGAGTTCTTCAAAGCGGTGCATCAATTGTGTCTTCATTTCATTAGTCTGTCCTCATTTCCCTTCGTTTGGTGATCCGTCAGCATGGGATCGACGCATAACACCCTTACTGTGGTCATATTGCAACCTGAGATCGCATTAGTAAGGGTGGAGACCGCATGAGTACAGAGCCAGCTGTCGCATCACCCAGGGGGTGGTGGTGCCTGCCTGTCACATCCTCTAATCAGGGACTGATGCGTGAAATATTACCACACGGGGCGCGATCGCGTGACGCTGCGTGATCACAGTTCCACTGCAGTATTGCATTACTGTGTTGCCCCCCCCCACCGCCATCTGACGAACCACAGCATCCACACATGCGTGATTCCCGAGCACCAGGAATTACATCAAGACAGCTCTGTGACAAGGTTCACATACACGCACGCACACACACAGCCATCTCCCTCGCCCCACGTAAAGAGAAAAATCTCGGAACACAGTTTCCACAAACTTAACAGGCAGACAGCTACCGGGCACGCCCGGTCGAGCGCACGTGGCCCAGACGAAAAGTGCGCCAGGCCGTCGTGAAAAACACACTTCCATATCCGGACTGCTGGAGTCAGGACGTCAGGACACCACAATGGGAGCCTCTCATTCAAATAGGACCCAACCTCGGGAGCATTCCCGTCGCTAGTGGAGCAAGGGAACATTTCCAGCGCTCCTTTTCGAGCCCCCGCATTCCCTAAGAACACAGGGGCACGGGGTCCCGGCCATCTGTTTTTTTCTTCAGTTTTTTTTTTTGGCTTTTTCCCCAGTCGGTCCCCCGCGGGTGGGGGCCCTCCAAATGATGCAGGCCTCAAAATTGGTACAACTAAGGACAACGGCACTTTTGTTTGTGCTCCCGTGAACACCGCCAACGAGCGTCCCACAGCGCGTCTCCCTGTGCCAACGGCCGTGGGTACGCGTTGACCTGGTCAACCAACTACGCTTGACGCGTTGACCAAGTCAGCATCTGCGTTGCCCATGAGTCATGTTTTCTCACACGCTCTGCTTTCCATGTGTCGGTTGGGATGCGATCCCCAGATTTCTCCAATTTCTGTTCGCCATTATTGCATGGTGTTGTTCAAGTTCCCTTCCTTCTCTAAAGCTCTGCGCAGCTAAATCCCGCCGTTACACCCACAGCATCCCATGAATGACTGATCCCGTGCGGATTGTCCGATCTCCCCAGGCTGGGCCACAGGGCCCCATAATTCCCAGGCAGACGAGCCGCCGACATTTTGAAGAATAACCCGAAAGTTGCGTGACGATGCCAATTGTACATTGTGGCTTTCCGTTATCGTCCTAATCTAAGACTCCCTCCTAGGCTCTAGGCTTGTTTTCACCCAATGGACACATGCAAACTTCCACAGTTACAAAAACTGCTGGCGTCCTGACTCCCCCCCCTTCCCCCCACCACACCCAACCCAACCCACCCCCCTCCCCCACGCTCTGCGGCCAACTTGAAAACCGAACCCTCCATTCGAAATTCCAAGTTCCAATCCCAAGGGCCCTTCCCAGCCCCTCCTCTAGGTGCCCCATCTTCCAGGGCGCCGATTCAAAAATTTGAAAAACCCATCCGCCGCAGCAGCACATCGGCCAGACAGAAGCCCCCCCACTTGGGCCCCCGCCCCAGCCTCAACGCCCCCCATTCTGTGGAAGCATCGTGAGACCGTTATTCGCTCCGTTCCCGCATCATTCCTTTTCGACTGTACCGTTTTCGATGCTTTTCTCTGCAGCGATGTCCTCTGGCGCACACACACCTCACGCCTCACAGCCTGCCCGCCCACTGGTGTCGCAGGTCAGGCCTCCGCCTTGGGGGCGGCCTCCAGCCACTTGCCTTCGTCCGCTTTGGCCTTGATGGTGGCAAAACGTTCCTTGCCCTGCGGGTAGTCCAACGCCAGGTCATCCAGCATGCCTGCCACACGATCGAAGCCCTTCTTCATTTGGGTCTGCGCACAAAACACAGGCACCTCTCACTGAAATGGGAACGTTGACATGGGAATGCCACGAAAAAATCCACAAAATCGCATCAATCATTGTGCCAAAACCACCAAAATGCTTCAGATGTCGTTTTTGTTGACGGGATTACATGAAGCACCCACACCGAAAATTACCACAGCTCCACGATGGTTGACCTTTACATTGATCAACAGCCTTGAACCCTCAATCAGCCAGACTGCGAGGTGCATGCACTACGAGGTAATGGGCGATGCAAAGCCAGCAAGAGCCACGCACAGTTGCGTTACTTCCTGAAAGATGGGGGATTTGGCACCAACCATGCCCTTTGAAGTGGAACATGAATGCACGCGGCACAGTCACAACATGGGCAACATCAAAGCTGCAGCAACAGTGCAACCTGGACAGTACTGGTACATGCAAATGAGCATCGCCCAGCTCACAGTCTGGAATGGGAGCAACAAGAAACCAACAAGAACACTTTCCGAACAGCACCTTGTTGGCCTCTCCTAAACACCCAAAGGCAGGCATCCCAAAGCAGGTCGACTTGCACTGAGGATGATGTTGGATTGCGTCTATCAGCCTCATGAAGGCATTCAACAACAAACTTGGGTTTTATCTGGACACCGCAGTGCCTTCCTGTGCCCCTGCATGGCTTGGCAGATATATGGCAAGGTCTCTCCATGCTGAAGGATGCCAACAGGAGATTAGTAACAGCATATTTCACTGGTTCCCATGGTACATCTTGTACTCAAATCCTTTGATTACATTTGTCACATAAACATGACAAAACACTGGCCTTGCACTTTAGAGGCGATGCTGGGCATGAATTCCAGACCAGTGTTGCTGATCTTATCACATTGTTTGTTCAGTGTCACATCTTGTGCTGTCTTGCCCAGCATTATGGTATTTGTATACTGCTGGATGAGCTTATGCTGTTGGACGATCTGCACTCAGCAGAGGCACATACCATGATGGTGTGTCGATTGTGATGTTGCAGTGATGCTGTTGGATACATAGCCAGTTTACTTTTGCTGTCCGTTTCAGGTGAACAATGTTGGCCGTTGCAGAAGATGGAGATTCAATGTTGTGGGCATGTGGACAACTACTGGCAAAGGACAACGGCAGATTGCTGGGGACCCACAATGAAAGCAACACACACGTGCAATGTCCCGCGCCTGGGCGCTCACCTCGTTGATCTCCCCGCTGTCAGCAAAGTATTCGAGCATCTTGCTCACCGCTTCCACTGCCATGTCGCTCTCCAGTGCCATCTCCAGGGCACGGCGCACAAGCTCGTGGTGATAGAAGGGCACCGACAGGTCATGCAGGCAGCGAGACACCTCCTTGATGTCCTTGCTCAGCATGTACTCCCGCAACATCGTCATGATGTCACTGCGGATCTGCTCAACGTCCTTTGCACCCCCATGGAAGCAGTTCAGGAGGCGTTCTGAGGCATGCCGGGCGCTGAGCATCGAGCCTGCATGCGAAAGCATGACAGTAGGGCTTGGCCTTGTTACACAGGCACCAGTTGTGCATACAAGTGCCACAACGGCACATGCCCGATCGCTATTTTGCATTGCATTTCGTACTCATACTTGACTTCATCCTTGCACATCCATGCTCACAGGAACAACAGCAGCACTCCCAGTGGGACCCTAAGGACCCTGCAGGCAGCATGTCTTATTATCTTCCAAGAAAATAATTGCCTGGCAATAAGCTCTGTCCAGTGAGTAGCTGTTTGCCTCACTTCCCTACAATTGAACAATTCCCTACACATGTGTCTGACAGAATCCATCATGGCACAGTGGTAAAATCGACTTTGCACACAATTTCGCACGTTTAGCATATTGTGTACCCACCCATATAAGTAAACAACGATTTTAACTGGGGAATTCATTCAAACTCCCTGTGGCACTCGAGTTGGCAGCCCTATCTGAATATTTCCACAAAACGTGCATGCTTTTCTGCACCAGTTTCACATTCACCTGACATACCCTTCTAGATGAAACAGCAGTGATCTTTCATTTCAACAAATGAACTTCCTCCACCCTGAAATCGTCAAATGCTGGCCCCATTGCAGGATATTCGGGTTGTGTACGTTTTAGAGTTGCACTTACATGGAACTGATACTAACAAACAACATGTTGTGCCACAGTGTAACAGTCCAGTAGGGTGTGATTATTGAATCAAAAATTCAGAAAGCCTTCAACAAACAGCTTTCCAGGCGCCAGAGCTTGCTTCAATCGAAATCAAACACAAATTCGTTCACACCTGTGGACTGCACGATCTGTATTCCCAGACACTTGTCTGGGAGCACCCCAAGCACAGTGGTGAGGAAAGAGGGCGGCAGCACCTCGTCGATGATGATCCTGCCCGTGAAGAGGGACAGGAGGTGGGCTGCATCGGGGTTGTCCAGCACAAGGTCTTCCGCAGAGGCCAGGAGGCGAGTGAATCCCTGGCCAAGCTGGTCACCTGGCATGCCACACTTTAACAGTCAAATTGTCACAAGTACAACTCTACTTTTCAGTGTCCATCTTTCCGTCATCTATTAATTCTCGCCATCTTCACATATCTTTCTGAGTTTTGGCATTGCTACCAAAGGTTTTGCCCAGATACACCTTTTGAGGTTCAACAGATCGGTCAAGTCAACGTCAGCAACTGTGGGCTGCTTAACCTCACCTGTGAGAACCTGTGGGTAGAGTGCGCTCAACAGCACACACACCATCTCCCTCTCTCTGTCCTTCCCGTCCATCGCCAACTGCACTGCGTGTTTCACAAAAATGTGGTGCAGCCCTGGCTCCTCCAGTTCCAGCAGGCGAGTGGCAACCTCGTCCACATCAGACGACCCAAAGTACTCCCGGACAGTGTCCTTGGCCACCTTCTTGAACTCGCCGATGGAGTAGGGGTGCGGGTGGCCAGCATTGCGCTCTGCATTCGCCTCCGTCAGAATCTCCTGCGGAGTCAGAACATTTGGCTGCATGAGAAGAGAACAAGGCAAATGCTGCTCCAGCACCTGCCAGCGTGACTGTGGGTTCTTGAAGAAAAGAACATCCCATGGACCCTGGGAAGCTGGTCTGCAAAACAGATGTCTTCCAAAGTGGTATTCATTGGGAGCAAATGCAAAGGACATGAGGCAGAGAAGCACAGTTCACCAATGTGACAAAGCGCTGAAGGCGGCGCCAATATATTACTATTCTGTTAGTGTCACCTGCAATGGACACATTCATTCATCAGCAAATTCATGGTGTGATCGCATCCCTCCTTTGGCAATGCACTCACCTCGAGAGACGCCTTGATGAGGCCCCCAGCCCTGGCCGCTTCCACCACCTCTGCAAATTGTTCCTTGGCGGATGGATTGTCCAGCACCGTGTCGTCCAGGCGAGTTGCGACACGCGATATGCCCTTCTGCACCTGAACATCGCTCAGCTCGCCATCACCGTGCAGAGCAGACAGAAGGTCAATGAAGGCACCCCTGCAGAAACAACAGAATCTGGTATGTCATCAAGCTTGTTGGTTGTTTCCATCTGCTGCCAGATCCTTGACACAATTGCGCCTGACCTCAAGCCACAGCATTGAAGATGATGCAATTCGGCACAAAATCAGGAAGATTGTACGCACAAGGGAGAGTGTGCTATGAAAGAGTGCCTCCTAGGCACGGTAGAGTGACTGACAAGCTGTGAAAGTCCTTGTGCATCCTGCTTCCCATGTCCACACTGCAACAACAGTTTAAACAGATATACATGCCCGCTCTATTTAAACCACTGCAAGTGTAAATTCGCGATTGGCCATGCTTTGCCCTGGAGTACCAGAGTGGCGAAGTTCTTTTCTTTGAGACTGTGCATTCAATTCCATACGAACAATCTGGGGGCCATTACAATCCCTTGAGCTTCCTTTTGAGGAGGCACAAGGCCCACATCTCTTCTGTTGGGATGTGGGCAGCAGCTGGTCTCCTGAATGTGAATGTGTAATATTGCGGATCCCAACCTCCTTCCACATCAGTCCAATTCTTGCTCAATCCCTGCCTGTGCATCTTCGTCTCCATGGCCATATGGATCGCCTGCTTCACAAACTCGTGGTGGAAGAATTTGACCCCTAGGTTCCACAGGCAGCGCCGGGCCTCGTCGATGTCATGGCTGCTAGTGTACTCGAACAACATCTTGACGATGCTGTCCTTTGTGTCCTGATAGTTGAGGCCAGCAGCTGGCAGCACAGAGGCGCCAGGAGCGTCAGTACAAGCTACTGTCCACAATGCATAACTGAGCAAGATCATTGTCAGCTTAGATGCCACATGCCATAGGGTTGCTTCTCAAGCACGATGTGTGATTTGGGAATGTTATCCCATGATGCTGAAACAACACAAACGTGTCTTCAATGCAACAGGATAAATATGGCGCACTTCAGCAAAGCAAGTAACAACATTCATTAAGACATGTGCAACAATAGTTGTTTCCATCCTGACAACTCTCTTTTTCAGGATTTTTGGAAACGTTGGGACTCCAATTGAATACTCAATATAGTGCAGACAGCTCTGAGTGTGGCTGGAGTGCACATACAGACTTTGGCATACACAAGGTCATTTGGCATATAAAAAAGAACAAGATGCCCCCCACCCACCTCCACCCCAACATCTGAGCAACTTCTCAGTGCAGTGCCTCGCAGCCAGATGGACCTCCACCTGCTGGAGCAGAGCCTCCATGGCACTGCCCTCTGGAGCGATTGCCTGCCGCACCAGAATTGGCACACAGTCAAACGAGGGCACATTCTGACTGAGGATCCCGAGATAATGGAGACAGTTTCAACTGTGGCTCCCAGAAACAACAGAAATTCTTGGGGCATTACGTGGACAGATTTTTCATGTATCATCGCCTTCAAGTTGCAAGGACAGCACTCTGTGACTTTGGAAATACAACTGTGACCCTTGGAACAATAGTTTACCCTCCCTGTATCAGCGAATGTACAGGAGAAGTGTGCATTGTCAATGGGACACTGGCAGGGTATTGTGCACTGTATACATGTTTGGGCTTTATATTGTAGCTATATCTTTGATTTCTTCCCTGCGCCTGGGGCGCATTTTGCAGCGATGGGACCAACTAACATTTGCACAGTTGTCACCAACAATAACATATGATCACTCTGGTGCACATGCCTATTTCTGCCTGTTGTGTAACAGCCTGGAATGTATCAGTAACCCTGTGCATGATACATGTCACATGCTGTACAACAGATTGTTGGGAAGCAACTATATGCTCTCACCTTGGAGACAATAGCTGGAGGGATGATATCATCCACAATGGCCCGTGCGACAAACAGTGAAACAAGGTCGACAGCTTCAGGCACATCCAGCTTGAGGTCATCCACTGACTCCACAACGCTCAAGAACCCTTTGCGCATTTGGTCAGGGTACACCACCTGCACAACCAGAGATACACATACCCAAGAATGTCTTGCATTGAAGGCAACAAATGGGCCATATCAAACACCAATGGGCCCTTTGCAGAGCAGCAAATGCTGCGGCAGCCAAGTGCTGGCAAGGCATCCATTTGGGTGCAAAGATACTAATATGACAATGGGGCGGAGTCATTGCCCCTGCCTGGGTGGTTCGTAAATAGTTATATGGGCCCTGTGTTCCAAGCCCAGCAAGGTGCCCTCCTTTCTCATCCACAAAGAAAGTTGCACCAGTGAGCCCTACTAAATTGTACAGCAAACGAAACTGTGGGAGACAGCATTGCTATGTAGATATAGCTGTCATGAACAGTAGTTTCATGGGCTGAAGCACACTACGATGGCCAGCCTATTTACCTTACGTAGCAACAGGATCACACAGGCTAAAGGTTGGCAGCACAATGCAGGGAGCCTCACCTCGTTGTAGAGGGAAGACAGCAGCACAGACACCATCTCACGCTCCCTGTCGCGCCTGTCAAGGGCCATCACGATCGCCTTCTTGACAAAGTACTGCGCAAAGTGGGGTAGGTCCAGGTCGTACAGCAGGTTGGCAGTCTCACTGATGTCATTGTTGTCAAAGTACTCATTGATGATACCGGCCACCTGGCAAGGGCGATTTCAGACACAGCAAACAGTCAACCCCAGGTATGACAGTACCACTCGTTGAGCACAACGATTGGATGGCCAACCATGCTATGCTCCAAAGCTGCATTGGCTGAAGCTCAAGCACACACAAACAGTGTTTGGAAGAAACAAAGTTGCGCCCGCTTGCTTGAAACACAAAAATTTCTCTCTGGGTATATTGGCCGCTCGTGTGCAACAACGGGATGTGAATGTTCGAGCCTAGAGAACAAGATTGCCCCCAGCGCAGGCTAAGGGCCATCAAAATCGCCGTACATATGTGCCTTGGAACACCCTTGCCGAGTGTGAGGTCCATCAGAAAGAGGAACCAATCAGCTTCTGACAACACCTTGATATTCAGCTGGCCACCAAAGCAACAAGCTGCTTGCACTGCTAAACAGCGGGCAGCAACTCCCCAATGCTGTGAATCTGGAGCAAGCCGCCACAACGTGCGCAGTAACCTGAAACACCCTCCCTGGGGACCAGGACTTCCTTGGCACCCCAATTGCACACATTCACCATCAAGAGCCGGGCAGATGATATCGGAGAACATCAAGAAGCCTGACATGCTGGGGCACCCCAGTTCACAGAGAACTGACCAAAGGTTCTGGGCGTTGCACATGGACAAAGAGTGCCATCAATCAATCCCCTTGGCACCAACAAAGGCAGCGCGTGACACATGGCACATGGGCCCAGGGAGTGCAGCGATCAAGAAAACCCACCCCAAACATGTGCATCAAGGACCTCACGTCACCTCACACACAAGGGCCTGAAGAAGCCACAATGGCAACTGGAAACCGACCAATGATACAGCAACTGCAACTCGTTAGCACCACAGCTGGAATCTGTGGGCCCCTTGGGCCAGGGATACGATTAGCAGCTGTGTCGGAGATCCGCCAGCGTAGGTTAGGGACCCAGGATTCCCTGCTTTTGATACTGCATGCAGTCTGGTGAACTACAGCCACCCCCCACCAGCCAGCCAGCCAGCCAGTTTGAAACACCGACTAGGTCCCCAGCCGCCTCCCACACGGCCAACCCATTGCACCAATCAATGCTGGCAGCAGCGACTGCACCCTCTGCAGTTCTGGACGCCTAGTCGCCCGTCATCGCCTGCAAGCTAGTAGCCCCCTTTCTCTCTTGTGGGTATAGCATGGACTGTGACATGGACGTATTTGTCGTAGCACGATAGCTAGGAAATTTCCTTCTCCCCCCTTTCTCTTTCGAAGCCAGATCACAACAAGGGGATCCAGCCCTCACCCTCTGCTTGTACTTCTCCACCTCCTCCTTGATCTCCGTGCTGACTTTGAACACCACCTTCCTGTCCTCCTCGGAGTTGTAGTTGGGATCGTTCTTGTCCACGGCGGCGCGCTCGGCCCCCTCGCCCACTCCCCAGGTGCCCCACGTGTATTTCCCACCGCCCCCGCCCTTCTTCGGCGCCCCGCTCCCCTTGGCCATCCGGGACTTCCGGTCCCCGACGAAGTCCTTGCTCCGGTTGCGCCGGTGCGTCGCCATCCACCGGTGCTCCTCCTTGTGCAGCTTGGCCTTGTCTGCAAGAAAACCAAACAACAGCAGTTCATGCAACCGTGACAAGGGAACAATCTCCGGACGGGCGCCCGGGAGCGGCAAGCTGGGTCGTGTGGGCGCAGCGATGTCACCTCGGGTTCCGAATCATCGTGCGACGCAGTCAGAATTGGCGCTTTCACAAGCAGCCGCCCGGAGGTTCGTCACCATGAGGGCGATCGGCCGCGCATGCCGACAATGCGCGGCTGCCGCCGGGACGGCCTGGCCGCTGCGCGCCATTCTTGCAACGCGTCCCCGGCGACAGAAAACCCTCAAGGCCTGAATGGCGCCCGGGTTTGGCGGGAACGTCCCTCCTGCGCCAGCCCTCCGATCGCCGCCGACGTCTCGGCTCTGTCCTCGCGGCGCCGCCGGCCATGCCTGGCGTTCCGCCGACATCGTTCCACAGCCTCGCGGCCAGCTCCTTGCCACAAGTTCCTTTCAGCCGCCCAAATGCATTCACGCAACCCCGGTAGGCCAAATGCACTCACGCAACCCCGGCAGCCGACACCGAACCCGAACGCCGATCCCAGCGCAGCGACAGACGGCGGCAATGAGCGCAAGCCCTCCCCGCGCGCCGCGCTTCCCATTCCCCCCCTCGCCGATTAACAGACGCGAAAGCCACGGTACGACAGTGCAGTTGTCCTGTCCAGCCCCAGCCCCCACCCGCCCGTCGCGTTTCCGACCCATCAGCACCGTTCGATACGATCTGGCCAACCCCCAATCTGGCGCCCAAACCGCATGCCTCCCCTCCGATCCAAACCGCCCATCCCGCTTCGCAACGAACGAGAGACACACGAACAAGCCAACCGCAGCGACCCCCCTCACATCCCCAGGCCAGGCAGGCCGCCAGCCAGCCCCTTCCAAAGGGAGATACCACCCCCCGGGAGCCCCCCGCCTCCGCGCGTGATCCAAACCTGATCCGCCCATTCTCGGCACCCCCGACGTCCAGTCCCGACCCGCCAGCGCCGGGAGCACCAGAACCGGGCCACCATGGAGCCATGCCGGAGATCCAAACCTCGAGCCCGGGCTGCCCGTTCCCCAGCCCCGGGGTGCGCAACCGGGGCGTCGCTCCAGCCGCCGCGTCTCGGCCGGATCGCATCCAGGGCCTGCGCGGAACTCCGCGCCACAGACTCCGCTCCCCGCCCATTCCCCACGCGACCGTCACCCGGGCTCAGCACTGATCGCCACGCCCGCCCACCGCCAACCCCCGCGCATCTCGCGCCGCCCCTCCCCTCAGGCCGTCGATACCCCGGGTCGAACAATTGCGCCGTCATCCCCAGCAGTCCCAAATTCCTTCCTCCTTTCCCCTCGCCAACCCAAACGCCGGCCCCCGATCGTCCACCGCCCCGACGGCCCCTCCCAGCCCCCCTCGTCACGCCCGCCCGCCGCCCCTCCGACGCGGCCACAGCCCGATCGTTCATCCCCATGCGAACGCAAAAAACGCCGCACGCAAAAAGAAAGAACAGCAAAACCAAGGACGAAATCCGCCGGTCCACCGCCACGTCCGCCCCCGCCTGCCACCGTCGCGCCCTCCCTACACCAACGATCATCCCACCCGCATGAACACCAACCCGTTGCAAATTTCGCCAACCCACCTGAAGACGCCACCAAACTCGCCCAAACCGCCATTCCACCTGGCCCCTCCGCGATTCTCGGCACACCCCAGCCCCGCAAAACCCCCCGTCACGATCTCCTGGCCCTCATTCTGCCAACCATTCGGCGCCCGAGCCGAGGATCGCCATCGCGGTGGCCCCTTAAAAAATTTCCGACGTAACTTTTGCTTAAAGGATCACAGCCATCGAGCCGTTTGCCGCGCTGTTCGATGCCCCAAAGTCGCCCCACGGCGCCCAGAAGGGATGGGTAGCTCCTCTATTCCGCCAAAAGCCTCAAAGCGAGCCCAAGGCGGGGTAATTGCCGCCGCCACCTCACAGATTTCCAAGAAAATTTTCGAGAAGCACGGCAAGCCAGCCGTTCGCGTCACCGCTCGATGTCCCCAAGAGCTCCCCCCCACCCCCCCACCCCCTGCGCCCAGATGCGATGCGCGCCTTCTCAATGCCGCCAAAAGCCCCAAAGCGCGCCTGAGGCGAGGATCGCAACCGTTGCCCGCCGCATCCCGCGCACCTTGCTTCTCCGCCAGCGCGGCGTCCAGCGCCTCCCGCTGCAGCTGCGTCAGGAAGGGCCGCGACCGCGGGGATGCCGACTCCTCTCCGGAGGCCATGGCCCTGGGCGGAGGCCGGTCGAGGGGGGGCGCCGGAGGGCCGAGCACGGCGGACCGCCGACAACACGCCGATAAAACTTGTTGAAGAGGCGAAGTGAGGGTGAGAATATGTGCTTCGGCGACGGAAGGGGGCGGTGCCGACACGGGCGACACGGATGATACACGTGGGGGGCTACGCCGACGCGATGTGGTTTTCAGACGAAATGAGTAACGCATGCCAGTAACGGGGAAGGGCTCGGCTGTACGGCCAAACAGGCTTGGGGGGCCGTGCCCTGTTTTGCACATGTGGGCGCGCGTTTTAAACCCCTTCCGCATTGGAAATTTACCGTTGCGCTTTTTGCTCCGCATTTGTTTTCCAGAGCGTTTTTTTAATTATGTTTGCGTTGCTCCCCAGAAATTAAATTGAAAGAACGTTATTTATTCTGTTGCTTTTTTCCCAAGAAAAGGCCAAGCGTTACCTTACTCACACGAACGTGAAGGGTGAGCGAGGTTGGCGGTGGTGTTAAGAGGGTGCCTTTCGTCGTAGCATCTTCACGTGCTGGTCGTTTTGCTATAAATCGGACAAGTGCCTGTGTTTAATGTGGGCATTCTTGTCGCTTGCTTGAGCAGCGAGCAGGACTCCACTTTCAAGGAGGGTGCCCAGCAGCTCGACGGCCACGGCGCTGCGACCAGGGGTGAGCTTCTGCATATGGCCATGTATCCTGGATGTGTGTATCTGAGATATGCAGCTTTTTGTCCTACGATCTGAGGTATTCCGGCTTGACTTCACCATCAAAAGGCAAAGGACAGGGCTGCAAACCTCTTATATCCTTTCGCACATGCTGGCCGGGCAATCTATGCTACCCCCACATTCTGTCCAATCAGGGAGTCGTAGCACAACTTTTCATTTATGAATGGACTTCTTGTCTGAGACAGAGGGAAGACCCCACTTTGGAGTTGGTATGCTCAGCATTAAAAGGACGCTAGTCTCACACCCCTCCCCCCCTTCGCCCTCTCTTATCGCCAATCCTTTGTTCGACGCTAGGATGACTCAGCAACACTACCTAACAGTGCAATACAAAGTCAAAATGATTTTACGAAGAGGCAGCAACCAAAGAGTCAGCGATTGTAGTGGGTTTAAATTGGGATGCTAAAGCTATGATAGGCGATGGGATTAGCCCCAAAGGCTGTAGATAGATCCATCATAAAGACTTCCTTAAAGCTTGCAAGCTTGATGGAAATTGTGAAACAAATCGTGAGCTATGTGCCGCTGAGCAACGGCGATTTGGTGCACCTTCCCACCTTATTTTCATTTTGGTGCGTTTACCTATTCTCTGAGCCTCCATGGCCTGGACCCCACCCCATCCCCCGCCCCCTAGCGTGTGTTTGATGCTAAGCGGTACCAAAACCACACAAGTGTCTTCCCTTAGCCATATTTTGACGGCTGGCACGCAAATGCGAACAGACACCCCATGGATCGCACGGTTTGCATTAGTCTTCAGCGCTTGCTCGCAAGAACCAGTGCACTTCGAGACTTTTGATGAATTGCACACCCTATCTGAGCGCTGTGAGGCCAACTGGCGACATTGAGTAGCGTGGCGGACGGTTTCGTGGCTCTCATCCTTTACAGTTTCCTCCAACGGGGCACAACGGTGCCCATGCACCTTTGCGGACTACAAAGAGGCTATTCATCGATCGATAGGCGAATATCCATGATCTTAAGTTGGGCGCAGGATTTCGGGGACCTCAAAAGTGATGGTGGGCATCGTCGACTAGCGATTGAATACATCTCTACAAAGGGTCCACAAACGTAAAACTCACAAACTCTAGGTTGTGGGCGGCAACCTGATAACATGCAATCAGAGTCCAGGTCCTGGGGGCAAACCTGGGCAATCATGCCACAATAGCACTGTACAAGTGTTGCCTGCAACAATGCCTTACTAATAGTACCGGCGCCGCACCCTGACCACGTCCAAACTGGCAAAGATAGAAGCGCAGCGATGTACGTGCCAGCTGCGGCTACTTGCCCAACACGATTCCACATGGCCAGCGATGCAGTCAACTGTGCCAACGACGTGGGCGAACTGCTGGCGTTTGCCACCTGATGCCTGTGCCTACAGCCTTGAGCCGCTTCCACCGCTCTTCCACCGATCTCGGCAGTCCCAATACATGGAGCCTGTCTCTATCTATTTCAATTCCAACACAATGGCTTTCTAAGCTCCACTATTAGGATGGTGGCCAGACATCATCGACAATGCAGCTCACTGCAGCCCTCCATCTTCCCCATTTAATAATGGGCAACATATCGCATAGCATTACTGTAAGGTAATAACTAATGTGCGCCGCCGAGCAAGGGCAACCACAACGCGACGCTCACTCTCTCGTCACCCACGTGCCGCTATCCCTCATCTGGCATTAGGTTCCCATATGGGCACATACATGGGGCATGAGGCATGGGTCCATCACCCCCTCGGGAGCCATGGCCACGGCCGTCCAGGGTTCTCAAATCTCGACCACGACTTTTCCGATGTGCCCACCCTTCAGCATGCCGTCGATGGCGTCTGGAATGCTCTCGAGGCCAACATATCGATTCGACCGGTCGATCCAGGCAGACAAGCGCCCCTCCTCATACAAACGAAACACCTTTGCACGACACCGCTGTATGTCTTGAGGGTCCTGTGTGAAAGAACAGCTGGTTGTCGGGCATGAACATTCCATTCCACGCTGATCGTATCTGTACACACAAGGGGCCATTGCCATGCAAACTGCAACGAGGGGATGCAGGGCAAGAAGTCTGAGTTGGTCTGATGTGCAGTGAGGGTGATGGATAGCATTATGATTGCGGGGCAGACAAAAGCACAATGCTCATTCGTGGCTTCATATGCTGCTTGGGGCTTTGACCGTCTGAAGCAGACATGCGCAACAGCCCTATCGCGTGCGGGACATGCTTGTCAATGACTGGAAATGGCACACAATACATGCGCAGGCACACTCAGTGTGTGGGCTCCCCAGAACTGGCAATCGCTGAATTCATACGACAAGTCAATCATGACAGTTAAACCACCCACGGATGGCAACAACAACAGGATCTGTGTCTTTCCGGGTGTCCTCGCTCGACAAATGCCTTGCAACGGCTGAAAGCCGCATGTTCATGTTGCTGTCTGTTTCCAGGATTTCGCCACCTTTCACTTGCGATAATCAGCACCAAGAGCTATGGTAAAGAATAAAGGATTCGGTCTTGTTCAACGTATTGGACGCGTCATGCACAAGGACGCATACCCACTATGTGTGAAGTACTTGTGCTGTTTATTACATATGGAGTACTCTCACTATCTGCTATGTCCAAAGCCCTATTTGAGCATCTCCTAGCTGCGTATGTGGACGGAAATGGCATGAAACGGCCATTTTGCAGTGATCGTGGTGTGCCCCATCGTGATGTTCACCGCTCGGCGCGCAGCCAGCCATATGCCAGATTCACACCTTGGGCATGACGCCACCGTATATCGTCTGTCTGTCCCTTTCAATCGTCGTACCACCCCAGAAGAGGTCCGCCGCACATGGCAGCCCATCTCCAATCGGGCGGCCCGACAGGGCGCAGTCTTTGGAGTGAGGATATTCGGCGATGTAGCCCACGAGAATCAACCGGCCTCTGGGAGCCAATCCATCGAGGCACGTCCGCAACATGGCGCCTCCCACGCCCTCGTACACCAGATCTATCCCATTCGGGTACTCTTCCCGTAAAACCCCGCCCACACTCTGCAGAGCAGAAAACAGAAGTCGCATTCAATAAAGGAGTTTGGGTATAGGGCAGCAGAGGCTGTCCATAAGTCACCGCCGAAATGCATGGAGAAGGGAGAAGCAGAATGCCGATCTGTGTTATGAACGAGATTGTTATGTGTCCTGGTGCACCTTCAGTGACCGTCAGCATCGGGCAGCAGCCATTCTCGCAGGGGCAATATCAGTCAGGTGTCATGGAAACGTTGTGTTTGGGCAGAACCGACACCATGGTCTCGTGATGCACTCAGCTTGGTTAGCGTTTATCCATTCAATCTAACTCATGATTGAAAAGATGCGCGCAGACAATTCTATGACGTATTCAACAATCAAAGTGCACACATGTATGTGCTCAAGAGGTTTCATTGTCTGGGTTTTCCCATTGCTTCATTCGCTATGTACTCTAACATCATTCAATACCACAAGGAACTCGCAGGCCTATTTTGGCAAGGATTCAATGTGCACATTGAAGTGAGTGAACAATGCCGTGTAAACCAACATTGTGCATGGTACGGCAAACACAGCCCTTTCCGTATAAGGGAGGTGTTTGTCAGGTTCTTTTGACAAACAGTCAAAGAATTCAACCATGCTAAAGATTCTGCATTGCAGAACGCCTGACTTGCGACCGCTTTGCACATCTAGGGATCAGGACAGGTGATAAGCTTGCATGAAAGTCTTGTGGCCTGCAGACGGTATTGAATGACATTAGCTACCTTGCACATGCATGGACTTGCTGCCTGTTACCGGTTGCATGTCTGTTTAACTGGGGATGCACAAAACAACCAACAGGGAGACAACATATGCTCCAGTTCCGCACTTACAAGCACTGGAGAGATATCAGTAGTGTTGGAAAACCTGTCCGGAGAATCCGTTGGCGATCACGCAACAAAAACTGTTTGAAATCTGGGGCTAAGCCGAAGACTGCTCACCTCGCGTTTGTAGTCAATGACTCTGTCCAACCCCAGCCGTTCAAGTGCTTTGGCCTTGTCGGCACCGCCACAAGTGGCGACCACATGGCACCCTTGCATCTTTGCAAGCTGAACAGCGAAATGACCAGTGCCGCCCGCTGCCGCTGTCACGAGCACCTTTTCATTCGGCTTCATTTGTCCCACAACCTGGCAAGCGCAAAACGCTGCTTTTTTATAGTTGCAGCCACAGAACGCAATGCGCCATTGCGCCTGGTAGACAGGCAAAATTAACACATTTTACAGAACTTTAACCAGTTGTTCTCTCTTACACTATTATTTGTTTTCTTGTTTGGTACGATTTTCGTTGGTGCTGGCGACAACAGTCGTTATTCTCAACCCCGCTTTTTGTTCTTGGAAGCAACATGAACCATGCACACAGCCCGTCTGCTCACCGCACTGGTGCCTGGCTGACTTGATTGCTTGGTGCTGCATTTGTTGAGCGTGGCAAAGCAAAGTCCTTGGGCCTACACTGGTGATAGAGGCCACATAATGTTAACAGCCACAACACTGGCAACCCTGGGTCTGTTGCAAATGTGATGTGTGCGCTTTTGTCACTGTTGGCTGCGGAAACATCGTCATCATATTTATCATCATTTCTGATGCCATTGCTATTCACAAAGCTGGAACGGAAGTGAGCTCTACCCAACGAGATGCAATCTTTGAAACAGGAAAAGATGGGCTGCTCAGGTCTACACGAGCAGTGCAATGCAGCTTGACTACGTTGCATGAAGTTGACAAAACTTCTTAATTTCACCTTCCAAAACGAAGACAGGCATTTTCTGCCTACATTTGCTGGTAAAATAATGCTGAACTAACGATTGACACAAAGGAATATCTTGTTGACATGGGTTCGATCCTCTCTTCGGCAAGGCTTGCGATGCCAACACACAATCCTCAGCAGTTCAACACCAGTTGAACACAATCAGACAGTTGCGAATCGGACGATTTACTGTGTGAGAACATGGAAACGGCATTGTGAACAGGACGACTTGCGGCATCTGTAGAACATGCCAAATTCAATAAAACTATCCAATGAATGTCCATGCATACTTTATCCACCATGCGAAACCACTGGCAGAAAATGGCATGTGTGTGATGCCAACTGCGATGCCATTTTGACACGAGGTGGTGCCGTCACAGAGATTGCGATGGCATACAAGTGGCTGTGATGGCATCAATTTGTGTCAAATGGCATCGCAATCGGCATCACAAACAGGCTATTTGTTACTGGTGAACCTGGTGGACCAAAATCCATTTAATCCAGAGACAGAATAGTGAAGCAAGAAATACCAGTCCTGGTCTCCACTTTTCTAAAGTAACAGAGCCCACAGTACCTCAAGAGCCGTGCAAGCCGTGACTGCAGATTGGGTGAGCGCGGCTGCCTCTGGGCCTGCCTCCTGCACTGGTGTGCAACATTCTCTGCGGGTGATGCCATACTCGCTAAATGCTGAGATGCGGTTGGTCGCCACCGGCTGGCCAATCTGCCCACATTGCATGGGTGCAATCGCAAACATGCTATTCAAAGGCTGTATCCAGCAGTTTTGGCAGCATTCAATTGTTACACGGAATTTCCCAAACCTAGCCGTTTTGAAGGAAGACCCCAAATTGCAAAAGGCTAAGAACAGTACATTTGCACAAACAGGAAGCCTCGGTTACTTAGGATTTCAGTATTAACAGTTGTGCAGTCTCATGTGCGCTCAGAGTACATTTTCATCATTATCAAGTCTATTAACTCAGAGCGGACAAAGAAGGAATGCTGCAATTGATTAATTAGGACTCATGTCAGCGGTTGCACCAAAACTCACATCTAGGTCGTCCACACCTTCACCGATGGCGGCAACGACCCCTGAGCCTTCAGCTCCCAAGGGGAAGTTTGTTTTGCCTCTATTGGAGTAAAAAAGCTGGTCACCCCTCACACGGAACGTCTCACAGCCTCCATTCACACCCGCCCACCGGAGCTCGACCAAAACCTGCACACAGCCAGTACCAAAGCTTGCCACTGTCAATCAATTTCTGTCTGTGCATGAATCGTTGCAAGTTGTTGGCCGTCGTGTATCCATACCATGCCATATATGTCTGCACAGACCAAAATCATGCTCTCGATGCTGCATTTTCCTTGGCCCACTCTCACTGATGGAGAAAACTTCAAGTGCAGAATGCGGTCACAGCACTACTGCCTTCTCTTTGATGCAGCGATGACCCAAATGTGCAATGTGCGACCAGACATTGTGTCGCTTCATATGGGCTGCAAGATGCGCCACATGAATTCCCCAGCAAAGAGCATGCCAAGCCAGATAGACGAGCCAAACGTGACCAGGTGATCGCAACCTATCTGACGCATTGCAGATAGCGGTTTCCTATCTGCACAAGATGCTGATGCATCCACAGGTTCAAAAGTCTCATGGACTGGTGCAGAAGACCCTGGAGCAATGCACAAACAACACTGCACTTTATTGCAGCAGCATTACTTGCTTCAAACATGCAGAGGCTGATATTGCAGTATGATGTATGATGCCACAATCTGCAACAAGGAAAATCTTGCAGCTTAAAGCCTCAATGAAATTCAGCAGCACCGCTGCAGAACAAACTCTTGCCTTGCATTTCACAGTCTCCAGTTGCAACTGAACCATTGATGTGGGCAAATTCTTTTCCAATCTTTTGCTGAAACAATTTTTGCACGAGCGTCCTGAATTGGAAGTGGGGTTGTCTTCAGAACTGGAGACACAATGCCACCAATTGTGCCTGCTCCCACAATAAGCAATTGCATTGATGACAGCTCATGCGTTCATGCAATTCTGCAGGCTCCAAAAATCTCACTTCCTGTAGGACAGCTCTCCTGCACCATCAAGTAGCTGTCAAGCTATTCCTATCACATCCCTGTGTCAATGAAGTGGGGAAACCAGTGCCAATTTCCACCCCCGGGCACTGCTGGTCAGGTCAAGCCCTCTTATGGGGCAATACCTAAAAACTGTGGGCACTTTCTCTCCTACCTAAAAACCACATTAGGCCACATGTAATGGCCTCAGCACAGGCAGCAGCACATTGGCTGACAACACTGTTTCAGGTCTTGCAACAGATACCACAACTTACCCCCAGCATTTCTGTGCCATTAGAGACCTAGCTCTGGACACAGTGTACCTTTAGCAATGACAACTTCACATGCCACCCACTGCATCATGGCACACAGGTCCGTACATGAAATACCATCCATGACAATATCTTTGGTACCTTTGCAGTCCAATGTGTTTTGAGTCCAGCACCCTCATGCAGAAGATCGCAGCTGAGTTCAGTCTGCCTTTCCTGGTGCAGCATTTTCCCATACCTCGCCAGGGCCAGGCATGTCCATGGGCAGATCAACAATTGTGGCAACTTCACGGAAACTGTCCCCCGTCCTGCTTGCGACCAGCCTCCTGAAAGTCTTAGGAAGGGGTCCCCTTGGTGCACGTTTAACAGGCTCGTGCATCGATACCTTTGCCTGTGCACACAATAGCAGCGTGGTCTAAATCTGCACTTATTTTCAATGTCAGCACTGATGACATTTTCCAGTTACGAAAATCGTGCTGCCGTTGCAATGATTTGGCAGTGTCGTGTACTGTGCATAAGCGTGGGTGGGCAGTTCAGGGCACACCTGATTCACTAGTTATCAAAGCCCCAAATTGGGATCTTGTCACCAGTCTGGCAAGCGTCCGATTGAACAATTCAACTCCCGGCTAAAGTCATCTGGTACTTGCTCTCTCGTATAGCTCTAATGCAATCTCCAAGGGGCTGATACTGCACGAAAGAAATGGGAAAAAATTGCGGGGCATTGATAGGCGGCCCAATACAACCTGTGAGGATACAGCATCCTGTGTGGATCGGCATACATACCATGCCCGCAATTGAAGGTAATTCATTTGCATTCCGAACGGCGATAGGCCACGAGAACAGGCCTCTTCCGTGTGGTTGCACAGTCCATCAACAGCGGTTCCCAAGACACACATTCAGAACATCCAAACTGCCCTTCGCACACACAAGACCGTGAAATGCAAGGTTCCATCAGTGCCGTTCGTTCCAGAGCTTTTGCTATTTTGCGCCCCTGTGGAGGTCAGCACAGCGCTTGTGACAAGTACCTCCGCATTCACGACGCCGAGAATCGGCACATCCCGCCCTGCACGTCTCCCGGGGGGCTTGGAAGGAACAATTGAACGCCGGCCGCGTGCGGGTCCCGCAGACGGTTGGACGGGGATTGCGTCTGCCATCGCGGTACCCGTTCCGACACTTTTTGCAGTGGCGCCCAGTGACGCGGGTGTTTGCTGCGCCGCAGTCTTGCTGCTGGAACCTCAGTCGCTTCGAGCCAGTCGTTGGTACTCATCAAGGTTGTTGTAACCAGAACTGATTGAGAAGTTTTTGAGCCCTTTGCATCAGAAAATTTTACCGTTATGCTTTTGCTATGCATTTTGTTTTTCAGAGCGTTGTTTCTATTATTTTAACGTTGTTTTGCCAAAATTTTTGGAAGAAGAGCGTAATTTATTTTATTGTTTCTTCGCAAGAAAAGGCCAATCGTTACGTCACTATTCGGAAGGGTTTAAAAAACCTACGGATATATTAATGGCTGGACGCATTAATAATCTTAAAGATGTGATGAGGCAATAGGGGCTGACTTAAGGGCACTGATGAACGGACCAGGCATGTAAGAGACAGAGTTCCTGTTGTCCCTTTGCCCTGCTGTAAACCGCTTCCATGTAATCGAGCCTACGTTCCCCAGTCAGGGGCCGCCACCCTCCAGCTGCCCGCCTTCGTCAGCAGCTAATGATAGGTAATCATCAAGGTTGCATTAACGCAACCTTACCCTCAGAAACCAGACTGCCACAAAGCCAGCAGTTCATGCACAATATCCACAGGGTTAACATGTTGTCTCTTGCATCTTGGTGTCGCCAGCGCCGGTGTTTGAAGATCTAAACCAAGCTGTGATGATCTGGCTTGATGTCTTGCAAATATGGACCTGCACGTCGGACAAACTCTTCTGTCACAGTTTTTCATGTCATCGCAATACTGTGACTTTATGTGTCATTCAATGATGCCGAAGTTCCACGCGTTGCTTACTGCATTTGGACGCAACAGAGGTGCCGGCAATACTGTGACTTTATGTGTCATTCAATGATGCCGAAGTTCCACGCGTTGCTTACTGCATTGGGACGCAACAGAGGTGCCGGCACCTTGATGTTTTTGTTCGCTGCTGCTTTGCTAAGCTCTGAATGCCAAGTGTGCTTCGCTTGATGTTCAGTCAGGTCCACTGGATGGTCCCCGCCTCCATGTAAGCTGATCATGTTTGGCTGCTTGCTGCGCATACATCTGCTTTCCGGCACATGGCATGCCGCAGTGAGGCAAGCAGCTATTTATACTTTCAAACACCATTTACTTTCTGTGTTCTACGAAAGAACAAAGTGTCGCACCTGTGTTCGCTCTGAGCTTACTGTAATGAAGTCTTAACGCGTTTTGTGCGGAGTTCAATGTCTACTGAGGGAAGGCTGCCAAGACATCACGCTGCATTCCAATAACGACAATTTGCGGCATTCTGAGTCAGCACGACTCAGGCCACAGAAAAGGCCAATTTTCCAGGTCCCCCCGGTGGCAGTAAAAGCGTGATGGTGGGAGTCTCCTCCGATGGAGTGTTCGAGAAGTACAACTGACCGTGGTCATGACTGAGGCCCTCTTGCAATGCGCTGCGGGGTTGCCTGTGGAAAAATCACTACGCCAATCTGCCTCAAGCTTACATGCCCATTTCCAAGACTTAGGGGAGGCACTGTGTCGATTCTGTCACATTCAGCGTCAATTTGACGCCGGGGGGGGGTCCAGAGTCTGGAACCAGGGGGGTTGGGGTGGGAGGTGGGGTCTGAGCTGAAAGTCAAAGTGACGTTAAGCACAGCAAATCGACATAGCGCCTTCCCTTAGCTGTCGGAAGAGGTCCCAATGGGCCTGATCGGCAATGTCGCCAGCGCATGAGTGTTGGTGTTGACCAACAGCGTTGGCAGAAATACAGACAAGAGGTAGATACAGAGACACAGAGCATTCGCATTGGCAGGTGCAGAGGCAGTGGCAATGCCTATTTATGTTTGAAGACTCATGCCTTGGGGGATTTCAGGCCAGTTGTTTCCGAACATGATGTCAACTTGGACATTTGCCCTCATGTACAACATCTGCCAATTGCGACATTTTGTCTTGGAACGGAGGAAGCACACTTATGAAATCTTTGTGCTCCAATATTCATATCACGCGCACACGACACAAAGTCTTTACCGCTTCAGTTGTACATGGACACGCCACCCACACGTGCCAATAACGGCTCTTGCTTCTCTCATTCCAAATTGCGCTGTACAGTATTTCGTAATGAAATCACGTTATGCTGTCAACCAGTTTGCAGTTGCTTTGTTCAGAGCTGGCGGGAACAGCGAGGGAGCTAATGAAGACCAAGATGCAAAGGACATGTCCTAGAACGTGAGCTTGTGCTCTCTGAGCCACAAGCAACAAATTAACCAAAAGCACAACGAAGCCAACCAAAACAGCAGTGCCTTCTCTCCATGGGAAGAGTTCACTGGCCAAGCCACGGTGAGTGCGTTGGCAGGCCTCGTGTGTAGCTGTGTGCCCAGGTGCTGTACTGTTTGGCACTTGCATGATACAGCTGTGTTGACTTCGCGCACTGAAGACAGTTGCATCCCCACACCAAGGAAAGGAGGATGGAGATCCAGCCGCATGCGCCTTAACCTCGTCACATGGCAAGGACCAAGAAACTGCTGACCATCACGATGCCGCCCACTGGGCAGATGACCAGTAAGTGACCAGCACATCCAAGGGCCTTCAATCCTCAGCAGCTGCAATCTGTTGCTGCCCACAAACTGTACCAGTTCCAGTTGGCCCCATACAATCTGTGGTGCCTGTAACATTCCAGCATTAATGATTCCACAGAGCCAAAAGTTCCATGTGTCAATATGGAATTGACACCCAAACACCCAAACACTGTACTTGATTGCACACAAAAAAAATCAACAAACCTGCCTGCTTGGGGCCCTCAAGCAAGATATGTCACACCCTCTGGAGCCTCAGTGGCGAGCCCTTTGACAAGTCCAAAATAGGGTTGCCCTCACTGTCCTTCCCCAACATCTTTGGACCCCCAACCAGCCTCAGCCTGGGATGGTTCCCAGCGAACCAACCAAGGCTCACAGCCTCGAACCAGTTCCTATGCTCCCTCACACATGCCTTCAGCGAGCTGGCCGCATTCATCCTGCGATCGCCATCCACCCAGTGCAAAGTCTGCTCCCCAAGCCTGGTCGTGCACAGCCCTTCGGAGGGATTGGCCCCCACGATGCCTGCGGTAGCGCCTGCCCCAACCACCCCACCTGCCATGCCACCGGCAACGGCTGCTCCCACATCCACCGCTGCAACCTCCGCAGCTCCAGCTGCAGCAGCCCCACCGGCAGCCACCACGCCGGCCTCCGCTGCAGCAGCGCCAGCAACCGCCGCTGCCGCCACTGCTCCAAAGGCAGCCAGGGTGACGGCACCCACAGTTGTGTACAGGATTGGGGCAGCGACACTCCAGTCACTGATGTCCTTTCCCTGGTACCAGCGGCACTTGACCGTGAAGTGCACGCTGCCTGTTTTGCGGAAGAATGTCTGCCCAGGCTGCACCTTGTTTGAGTAGTACAGGGGCCCCACTTGGTCTAGGCTGACCTGTCTGCCCAGGCTGCACCTTGTTTGAGTAGTACAGGGGCCCCACTTGGTCTAGGCTGACCTGCATCACGAAGGGGGTGTCGTTGCGGATGCTGATGGTGCCCCCCATTATGCCACCTGCACGTTACCTGCACACAACCTTCCACAGAAGAGTGTGGTGGTGATGGGTGCCGCTCAGAGGACCTTGGTGGGCTATTGCAGGCTCCTATTACCACCTGCGCAGTGGGATTCCAAGGTGAGCGAGCCATCAAGAGCACAAGTTCAGGTCAGTTGTGCTCAAAAGCACCCTCCGACCCGAAGCAACATAGAGCCCATGTCACTGCCCAGTGCGGCCAGTGCGCCCAGCACTACGGACAGCCACTTTGCCACAGCAGAATTGGGAGGTGCTCTTCATTGCTGTGGTAAAAATAGTGGTTGGCATCTTTGGATGCCCATCGCACACATCCAGGGACAGTGACCCTCTCCTTACGATGCTGTTGATGATCGAATGAAGCACAGAGGCCTCCAGAATCAGCATGGGGAGCTCTACTCTTCGTGCCAGGTCGCCTCAAAGCAAAACTCACACGTGGCTGGCCAGCCTGGCCGCTGGCTGTGTCAGCACATAGTCTTGCAGACAGAATGCCAACGCACCACAGCACCGTGGCGCCACAATGTGGGTGGCAGCATCGGCGCCCTGCCCACAGCTCACCCTCAACATATCAGACCCCCATCTCCAAAGTTGTGGCGTTCGTGCTCCTTCGACTGCTTTGTCTGTTACACATCAGCTGGCTTGCCTCCCACCCCCCACCCACACACACACCCAAACCCCGCACAGCCCACACCCACCACCATCGCTAACCTTTCTTGCTCTCCACTGTGCTTCTGCTGTGCACTCCTCTTGTTGGACTTGAGATTATACATCACTTTTGATAGTATGGAAAAGAATCTCACGCACACTTGCTCAGGATGGGTTGCCCTTTGTATGACCCATTTTTCTTCTCTTTGTAACGAATCTCCTACCCCGTGCTAACAAGCCTGCCCCCAGCACCAAACCCCACCAACCAATTCTTGCTCTCTGTGGTGCCTGTCCTGCGTGTTCCTCTTGTCGCATCGGATACTCTACATCATCTTTTCACAGAACAGCAAGGCTCTCACGCACAGTCGCTCAGGAGGCGGTGCTCTTCGTATGGCCTACTTCTCTTTCTCTTCGTGACAAATCTCCCCAACCGGCAACCCCACCCACACCCCACCCCCATGGCCCCGATCCGTGTGCCTCCGCCGCGCGGGCGGCCCCGCAAGGTCCCATTCAGCAGCCCGTTCGGAATCAGACAATGGCGCCGGAGGCGCCGAATGCCTGCGCGCTCACCCGTGATGGCGATGACGCCCAAGCAAAGGCGCCGCGGGCGTGGCGAGCCTTTCTTCGCGAGGCCGACGGCCCGCCGGCGGCTGGTTGGCGCCGCCCTGCGCGGTGCGCTGAACGTGCAGGTCGTTGTCCTTGTGTTTGCGCGGGCATGTACAGCGCTTGTTGCGCTGCCTTGGCTGCCTCTTCGCGGTCGCTTCCGCGGCCTCCGATGATATGGAGGCCGCAAATGACCCAGCAAATGCCGCACGCTAATGGGTTAGAAGCTTCTCGTTCGATTGAACTCAAGAAATGGAGTGCTCATGAGCACGTGCTTTGCTGCCGCCAGAGCAACTCCTGAATGACGTTGGGCTGAGCTTCCCTCCATCAGCTGGAGTTCCGAGTGGATTATCCAACTCTACACACCCCAACTCGAATCCCATGACCTTAAACAACACCTTTGAGTTGAGATCCCCAACAAAATCGGTGAGCAACCACCTAGAGTTCGATGGCCATCTCGTGTGACTGCCTATTACGGCTGGTGAGTCACGGCCACGTATATGTGCTCTAGAGATTGTGTCCAACCCAGATCCCCAAACAAAGGGACCCTAAAGACACACAACAACCTATTACTATTCCGGTTGCAAAAGCACAAACCAACTGAAAGTGGAAGGGACTACCGGCTGTGCTAGCGATCACACCCGTCACAGGCTGCGACGTGATGGGTACGGCGTAGTGGTGGCCACACTCGGGTGCCGTCCAGTCCGTTAAGTCCGGTCCGTAAAACTGAGTGTGATATTCGTCCGGTAATATCCGGTGCGCTATTTGCCGTACTGCCATCCGCAAAATCCGGCTCTCACTTTTTCTTCACCGTTATTTGCCGTTAAGTTAACGGATGACGTGTGCAGCGTCCGGTCCGCAACAAAATATCCGTTGATTAATAATTTTGGTCCGTTATTACCCACAGGTTCTTCCTTTCCAGCCACGGCAAGGTCAAGGCGAAGTAGCCAAGGGGTTTCCATTTTGCAGCAACTCGAATTATGTTGGTTGCATGCTTGATAAATGTGTGTGGGCATCTTTCAGGTCATGCATTCTGCGGTTTGTAATACATGGAGTGATTTGGAGAACTCAACAACACACAAGCCATGTGTAAAGTTCCAGTGTATGCATGCAATCCTGCACCACTTGCTACGGCTGGTACTGCTGCGTAGTACGCAGTGCGTACCACACTCCCATTGCAAGTCTTCCCGGCCATTCCAGCAAGGGTTCGGCATAGTTGTAATACCAAACGTGGACACACACACACCCACATCACCTGAGGCAGGTGGCAAAGAGGGTTCACCTCTAAACACAGTTGAGCCACTCAACATACTTGGGAATGGGTGATACGTATCAGTGATACGTATCAGTGATACGTATATGTGACACATATAACGATGGGTTGTTGCGGCGGTACTCCACAGTTTCCACGCCAGGGCAGCGAGTGTAAAGCCCATCCACCAATTGCACTATTCGATTGGACACATTTCTCACAGAAATTCTCTTCTATCTATATGATACCCTAGGTTCATCCATTCCTGGAATGTTCCAACATAGTACGTAAAAATTCAACAGTTCAACATACATGAAGACGGGCAACGAATAGTACGAGTCGTGATTTGTTATCTACCATCTCTGCCTATCGCACCCTCGCTGCGGCGGTACTCCAGAAGTTTCCACGCCAGGGCAGCGACTGTAAAGTCTATCCACCAATCGCAGTAGTTGTTGGGACACATTTCTTGAATAAAATTTTCTTCTATCTATATGATACCCACAGTTCATCCACCACTCCAACATAGTGTGTTCAAGGTGTGCACTTGAACACAGGACAACGGAATATTACAGGTCATGATATCTTATCTTCTATCTCTATGGTACCGCACCCTCGCTGCGGTGGTACTCCACAGTTTCCCCGCCGGGGCAACGAGGGTGGTCACCGGTGGTGATCCAAACTTTGGAATCCGAAGTCACTACTTCTATCAATAGCCATGGCAAGCGGTTCGGGGGTGGTCAGACGCCTTCTCTTGGCCCTGTGCTATGGCACATCCTCCACCACAATGACACTCGAACTTGGCGATGCACCTCCAAGCGAATCAGTGTCCACAGAGCTCAACACACCCCTCCCAGCAGCAACATCATGTGCGCCTGGGACTCCTCGCTCAGCAACAAATGCTGCGAGGTCAACACCACCATCGCTGCCAACAGAGCCTGGCGCACACGTCCATTGCGTAAATAACCGAGGCAACATATATTCGACGATGGATTTCAGATGTTACAAGGATGGTCTGAGGATACTTTCTTTTGTGAAATAAAGGCAGAAAAGCGTCTGGCAACCATGGACTGTTCAGTGAATGTCACCTTCCTTGCTGGTGGCAGGCGGTACTTGGACTTCACCTCACAATGAGACAAGTTGTTTTGTTAAAAAAAACTAATCCCCATCGGAGGAAGTCTCCGTGTCACTCCCTGTTAGGAGGCCGGAGTCCATGACATTGAACTCCCACCCAACCTGTGAAAAAAAATCGTCTTCAGAGAGTCTTTCTTCTAGGCATCTTAGCGACGGTTCAGTTATTCTATATTTTCTGCTAATAGACTTGTACCCCACCATGTGTTCCCCCCGGTGCAGCACCAAATCTATGATAGCCGCGCACTGACGTGTTTTATAAGCAGCCCGGCGATTCATATCCACTTGTTTGCATTCCTGCCTGCGACGCTTGTGCTATTCTCCCCAAGACTGGGGGGGGTTCTGTCTCTCGTGTTGTTCCTTTCATAACCGTGCCCCTTCTGCCCCCCCCCAATGCGTTATTAATGTATCCGCTTATGGCGGCTAATCGGGCCTGGTCCTTGGGGGCGAGGTGGTCCTGTATGGGCCGCCACACCCCCGAGGGCAGGCCACCCAACCCCGCTTCTTGTATTTCCTCTAATCTATCTGTTAGAGCTTCCCTATCGCGCTCAGCTTCCCAACCACGCGCAGCTTCTATCCGCCGCCTGACTTTCACCCCTGCACGTCTCCTTCCCCCCTTCCTCTTGTGTCTGTGCCGGCGCTTTTGACCATCCTTGTAACGTTGGCCCCTGTTCAGGGGCCGCTTCCGACCTAACACAGGAACAGAATACAGTGTTTCCCCAGCCAGGTGACGGCAGGTACTACCACATACTGGTGGTACCACCAAAGCAAAGACAATAGGTATTGTAGGGAAATGCAGCACGCCCTGTACAATGCACGGCCCCCTGAAAGGGACGAAGTGCTGAGGTTTCCCCAGCCAGGTGACGGCGGGTACTGCCAAATAATGGTGGTGGCACCTACGCAAAGAAAGACGATGGGTATTGCAGGGACAGTTCGTGCATGCTGTACATTGCACGGCTGCATGGAAGGAACGAACTACCAAGGTTTCCCCAGCCAGGTGACGGCGGGTACTGCCACAAAATGGTCATGCCACATAAGGAAAAATAGGCGATGGGTACTGCAAGGACATACAGCACACCCTGTACAATGCACAGCGAAATAAAAGGAGCAAAATGGGAAGGCTTCCCCAGGCAGCTGATGCTAGGTGGTGCCACATATTGGTGGTGGCATCTAAGCAAAGAAAGGCGTTGGGTATTGCAGGGCGTGCAACACACCCTATACAATGCACGGCCACATAAAGGGAACGAATTGCTAAGGTTCCCCAGCCAGGGGACGACGGGTACTGCCACAAAATGGTGGTGACACGTAAGGAAAAAAAAGGCGATGGGTATTGCAGCGACACATAACGCAC